GTATTCGAACACTTATTTATTTGACGACTATAGATAAAAGAATAATTGAAAAATTTTTGTGATGTTAACGTTGATGATGATGATTAGCAAAAATCAAAAATATCTTTCGGAATTCGAACACTAAATTCATTTCGACGAGAACATCACAAAAATTTTTCAATTATTCTTTTATCTATAGTCGTCAAATAAATAAGTGTTCTATACTGATATGTTGTAAAACAAAATAAATAAAACAACGTCAATCTAATTGCAAGACTAGATATACCAAAGAAATTATAAATTTTTACTGTATGCTGTTGATTCATCATTGCTAGTTATGAAATAAATTTATAAAAGAAAACGAAAAAAACAAAATATCTATGTTTCACAACTTGAATGTAGAACAAAATAATACAGCAGCACATTAGAACGGTTAAGGATCGAGCCGCATTTTCAAGTTCAATAAATATTACAATTAAAATTTTAAAAAAATACATAAAGGAACAGCATTAACCAATTACATATTCATATGAGCCTGAAGCATGTCGACGTAGAACTACGGCTCTGCAAGCCTGAGAGTAATTTGATACTCGGTCATTTTTTTTTTGTTAAATTCTATAATCTATGTTAAAATTACTAATGCAATTAACTGAATGAAAGGAGATTACGATGACATAATCAAAGCATTTTTTTTTCTGTGACCATCTTTAGACAATTTTGTATATTGTATATTGTATGGTACACTTCAATGATGGTTAGTAGAAATGAAAAATATCTCTTAAAAACTAAACAATAAATACATTTCGCTGTGAAGTTTATAAGAATTTTTTTATTATGAATGAAAAAGTAGTTATTTTGAGGTGTCATAATCAATCATTCCAAAGATCATATGTATTTTACTAGTTAATATGAACTAAATGATTACAAACTTATAAAACTAGAGAGCATATTTCATTTATAAAAAGAATTTTTTCTGTGTTAAAATTAACTTGACGTTCTCGAATAAAATTTAGCTATCAGCATAAATATCAAATGCAAAGATTGATCAATTAATATCAGACAGTTCCGAGTTGCCAGTCTGATCCAATTCGTTCTGATAATATTCTGTGAAGTTTTTAAGATAGACGAAAGTTGTGGGCAAGGTTCCTAAATTTTAGAAATCCAATACTGAGGTATTTGGTAGAAATTACATTCATTGATGGAGGAATCTTTTAAAAATTAAAACAAAGGTGACAGTGTGGGTGTGAAGTGTATGTGTACTCTTGTCATTCTACAGACAGGGCATACATCTACACAGTCATACGCGGTTTGTGTTTCTTATAAAGAAAAACCTATGTTCAACGCATGGCGGTTGAAGATGTTGTTTGATTATGTTGAAATTTGAAAAAAGTTTAAACTCATATTGAACATAATTCAGAAGATGATATAGACCTAAATTTAATAGATTTAATCTTTGGACTAATGATATTGAATCAAAAATTGATAAAATCAGCACAAGCCACACTAGTATATGAATATAAATTTGTACGATAAATTTGTCAATATAACTGTTTATCTTGATAAAGTAAACATGTATAGGATTCCTTCGATATTCATCTTAAATCAATTAAATTTATTTGTCTAGACCATTTTATAGTTATATTGTATAAGGATAATCTATAAAAATTAGTCCCGATGGTTAGTATGACAATATCATGTTCTAAACAAATATTCTTTAAAAATGCCACTAATTATTTGAATACAATTTTATATTGTCTTTATTCATCTAAACTTATCCCTTAATGGATATTAAAAAGAAAATGTCGCTGTTAGGTACGCGTCAAAGTATAATGCCAATATCAAGAACTTGCTGTCCACATGTAATTAGTCAAATGCTTCAGTGAAAGAATTATTAATAAATGACATAAAAACGAGCTAATGGCCATGCAGTAGGATTATCTTTATAATCTTACTCAACAAAAAATTTTTTATATATATCAAAAAGGACAAGATTTTAATGAAACATGAGAATGTATGCTTCAAGAACTAGTTTTTTTTTTTATATAAAATAGAGACGCATAATATACATTCTTCATTATTTACTTTTTTTCTTTCTGAATAATCGTCGTATCGATTAAATAAATAAAAATGGCTCCTTTTATAACATATTTATCATCCGTGCAACAACTATTAACGCGATACGCTATGACTACATATACAACATTGGGAAATATCGGCAATATATTAACAATAGCTGTTTTTTGTCAATCTGGTCAACTTAAAAGTTCTTGTTCACTTTATTTATTATTTATGACAATATGCAATTTTATTTGTCTTAATTTTGGTACAATACCGAATATATATACATTAGATCATATTGATATTGCCAGTCAATATCTTTGGGCTTGTAGAATTCAATTTTATATTCGACATGCTTTCTATCAAATGATGCGAACTTATAAAGTTCTTGCTTGTATAGATCGTTATGCTAGTTGCAGTATGAATTCTCACATTCGTTCATTCAGTAGACGTAAAATGGCTATCTATATAATAATAGGTAGTGCTGTATGTTGGTTACTAATAACCATATTTTTTAGTTGGATGCGAACTATTGAAAACGGTTCCTGTAATATATTTGATAATGTTTACTCAATGATCTATGCAGTTTATCATATGATATCTGCTGGCATCATTCCACCGTCACTGATTGCAATATTTACTGTATTAGTAATAAGAAATTTAAAACAAGTACGAACTCGTGTTCAACCAAATGGAAGACATACAGAAAATATAAAATCGACTAGTTTTCTTAGGAAACGTGATCGAGATTTAATTAAGATGATTTTCGCTGAAGTTATATTTTATGTTTTGAATACAATGCCATTTTCAATTTATCTAATTTATAGATTGATAGCACGTTCTTTAATAAAAAGTCAAGAACAAAAACAAATCGAATCATTTATTACATACATGTTACAATCATTTATTTTGTACTTTGATACCGCTGTACCATTTTATATCTATATTTTAATATCATCATCGTTTCGAACCCAATTGAAACGCGTTTTAATCAAGTTTTATGCTTTTATAACTAGAAAAAGAATCAGAGATGGAAATAATGATAACAATTGAATAGTGACATTTTATGATTAGTTTTCGATTGTTTTGTTCAATTTATTGATTACTAAGTCATGCAAATAAATTTTTCAACAGGTAGACACCAATTTTTTTTTTGAGATGAATCATATTCCGATAAAACAAACTGGGACATGTTTATCTTTTTATTGCATTATTCAACATATTAGCCTGGCTCGGAGGAAAGGAAAGAAACAGAACGGAGAAAAAGTGACCTTCGTGGGGATCGAACCCACACCTTCTGCTATCCGGGCAGATGTCCTAATCCAGTTTGACTAGAAGGACCAGCTCAATCTCCGTCTAGCGTCAGTGTGTATCATCACTGACGCTAACACAACAAAATAAAGTTTTGATCTTGAGAAACTCATACAGATTCATAATTAAATAATAGGAGCTCATTAAATCAAATATCTCGCTTCAGAAATGCCAGTATTCTCACCTTCATGTTTATAAGACATATTTAATAAGAAGTAAACAATACTGTTTTGGCAGAGAAAATGTCCGTCATAAATTGTAAAATCATATCTTTTTTCAAGGAGAGAAAACGACTAACAATAACAAATGAAATGACCAATAATTATGCCGTTTGTTTACAAGTTTCGTAAATTAATCCAATTGAAATAAAAGCTGGGTGTGGCTGCACCTGTTACTTTTCCTGCGTTCTATGACAATGCACATATTCATATTCTCACGTCAGAAAAATTAGCAGCGGATTCGATATTTCCTGTCCGGATTCGATTGTATGTCTGTACTATAATTCTAAAGGGTTGTGCTGGATTCAGAATTTTATGCTGAGTGTGGGTGTGGCTATGGATGTTAATGGGTGTAGATGTGGGTGGGTGTGGTTGTGAATGTGGGTGGTTGGGTGTGAGGTGTGGATGTGAATGCATGTAGGTGTGCTTTTTCTATTTATCTACCCCCATACACACACCCACACCTCGCAATAGAAGTCGAATCAAGTGTTAATTTATGATGTGGCTTTGGTCCATGAATTTTAGTTTCATCATTCATATTATCAGGTAATAAAATCAGTTTCGGACAAATATAAGAATATAAAATATCTATTACCGCCGATAAAAGATAATTCACCGTTCATTGACTGAAATTCAACTTTGTTGCTACATAGCGTTCTGTATGATAATGTTTCAAGTACCATAGTGTGATAGAAAGTAGATTTGTAGGAGATAGATATGGGATATTTGTACTTGTATGTTGTTGTTTTCTGCTCGTACAGTTTTCTACCAGCGATTGTTTACAAAAAGTGTATAACTGTTCTACAAATAGAAATTTACATGCAGACTAAACAACGAATGTAGCTTACCATCATACAACATTTGAAGTTCTTCCATACGTTCATTTCGCTTCTCTTCCGTTAGCTGTTCTCTTCTTCAAGTTCCGGTGTACAATTATTGCATCGTTGACGATGGCGATAATAGTTACTATATAAATCAGATTTTTCAGAAACAACACAAGTCCCCACTAATATTGTTTCACAATTGTTGCAACATTTATGACATCCATTTATAGTAATTTCACATTCAGGACATTTCCATTCAACTTGTGAAGAAGAGAGCATTATAACGAGATATAAGTGATCAAATCGATTTAGTTGATATATTTCAAAATGATCGAACAAACAAAGAGAAAAGAGAAAGAATATCAGAGGTAAAATAGAAACGACGCAATTGAAAGACAGAGATATGTGAAATAAATCACATATAAACGTGTAGGAGAAATATCGATGTGAGAACGAAAGAATACTTGGTAAACAAAAGACTTTTTTTCTTCATTAATCTGTGCGACAGTGATTTGCGCATCTTGAAGTTGTCTGTACGCGAGTGTAGATACATTTGTTTCTATTTATTGTTGATATAGACTTTAAGCGCACTATTGATTACTAAGTATTTCTGATTGAAAATTTATGTAGTCGATAAACGAGAGTGTATTCCATCCAAAGCGAAAATGTTTGATTATTTCATTTTCTGGCAAGACATATAATTCGAACATTGTCAATGACCTCATGAGTCCATAATTCGAGTCATTTTATCGTATGAGAGATATGCTACCTC